GTAGCATTCAGACCACATGCCAGGTTATCTCATTTCCTTTTCAATGCCAAAGATAAGGTCGACAAGTTGGAAAAATCTGGAGTTTATAAGCTTAAGTGTCCGGAGTGTAATAGTGTTTATGTGGGACAATGCGGACGAAATTTCCAAAAACGGTATGCTGAACATGAAAGGTCCTTCAGACTGGGAAAAAATGATTCGACGTTTTCAAACCATTCCTTGGCATGCATTCCTTGGAAATTCACAAGCATAAACATTGCGGGTGCAACCTGTTAAATGACCAAATCGATTTAGTTTACTCTCCGGTTTTTAAATTGGCACATGCGCATTGTGAACTGTAAATACAGGTACTCAATCAAGTACCTGAATGGTATATATTAGCGAATGTAATGAATCATTCTTAGTTTATTGTTTGAGTTTGAAAATGTCCATATAGGACGAAACTGCAGTAACGTTAGTTACAAATATAAGTGGTAAAAAAACATAGAAATTTTCATTTCTTTTTTCACCTCTATTATTACCTACAGTAGTGGTATCAATCATTGTTAGTTTAATATATAAGTTTGAAAATGTCCTCATAGAACGAAACTGCAGTAACGTTAGTTACAAATAAAAGTGGTAAAAAGCATAGAAAGATTCAATTCTCTTTTCTTCATTATGATTTCCTACACGTAGTAACGGCTACATCCATCAATTCATTGTCAGGATTAATTTAAAATGAATGGAGGAAGTACAGAAAAATCTGTGGTACTTTTATTAGAAAAGGGGTACGGTATGTATTACCGATGTCGAATTTTTCAACCAAAACAACGTTTTAAAGACTCATTGGTATTTTTGAACCCAGTCATAGAAACATTCTCTGAAATTTCTGGGATATTCCAACACAATCATTGTTCGTGGAAAGCTTTGAGAATTGTAAACTGACAGAAAACTCAAGTCGTAGCTGGGTAATAAAACGATTCAACTTCGTTGTACCAAAACGACACAGCAACAATACTTCTTATCTCTGACGACTCCCGTATGGCTGCAAGGATTTTACTGTAAACCCATGTGTAGACAAATCTAATAAAAATCCTGGAAAATCGCGGAGTGTGGAGTTGAGAGGTTTTTTGCCATGTAGATTGCGTGCAGCCGATGGAAATTGAAAAAGCTTTGGGTGTGAGTGTTTGCTGAAATTTGATTTTCATGTCAGCTAATGGGTGTAAAATTCACGAAAAATAATATCGAATATTTGGGTGGGGAAAAAATTCCCATAAAAAATGAAACGAAAAATCTCGGACTCTGGTTAGACAATGAATTGAGGTTCACAAAACATGTCAATCAACTTTGCCGAGGTTCATATAATACACTCAAACAACTTTATAATATCGGGAAATGCGAAAACTGAAATTGTTAGATATGAGAAAATTACATTTATTAAATATGACCCATAAAGTACTGAAATATAGAACACCAACATATCTATATGACAAACTAATTAAAATGGGGAATCTGAGTGATTATAACACTCGTAACTCGGGGTTACTGGCAATGTACAACATAAAACCTCCATTTTTCAGCGATCTTTCACGTACAACGCCTGTAAGTTCTATAATCAACTTCCGCATGATTACAGTACATATACTCTGATGAACTTCAAAAAAAAGGTGAAATCCCTATTATCAGCTCAATATAATTAAGAAATGTCGAACTCTGCATCTACAAAACGGATAATGACCAGTCAATCACTTTATGAATTTAAGGACTCATTAATTTGATAGATCTCAGGCAGCAAAATTATTCTACAATGTAATAGCATTATACTCATCGTAGATATTATAGCTAAGATGATTAAGAAAATTGTAAATTAATATTGTATTTCCATGTTTGAGTTGAAAAACACCCACGGGTGACACTTCGCCACTTTATCTTTGTCGAATACCTATTATTGTTATGTCTTCACATATGTGTCCAAAGATGAACAAAGACGATTTATTATTATTATTATTATATTCAAGTATTACAAATATTTATATTTCCAATATACAAAAAAACAGCGTGAAATAATAGATAGTGGAAATGTAAAGTAGTACACTTTATGAAAAATTCGATTTATCACTCATCATGATTTTAATTTCATTAATTTTAATTTAATTGTGGAATTGGCCGCGGTGGTAGTGAGCCCGACTCACGATCGGAAGACCTTGGGTTCGATTCCTGCCTCGACCAAATATTTTTCTCGAGGTAATTTATTTGGTTGAAGCTGGTTGAGCATCGTCTTGCTCTGCTAGTCCTCGACCAGCAGAGCAAGACGATGTTTGTCGTGAAGTTTTCAGCTCCTGGCGAGACGAATATCGTCCGAAAAAAGGCAGGAAAACGAATAAAATATCGGGAATTCTCCTACTCTCGAATCTCAAAATCATTCTCATACTTGAATATTCATCATATATTTTTTTCCTTTGGATCTCCTTTTCACCAAATACAAGCAACATCTGATGCTTCTGAAGTTTCTACGATGTTTATTCAACCGTATGTATTACTTTAGTTATTTCTTTTTGTGATTTGAATCTGAATAAACATTATTATTATTATTCAACGCCACTGGTCTGAGATTGAATTTCGTTACTCTTTCAAATCATCAGTTTAGTTTCACTCAAACAGTATATACTCTTTGAATAATGAAAAATCGTTATTCGACGAAAGTTAAGAAGTTAACCTTAACCGCGAAAGATATTAGAATTATCAGCTACATTAGTGATGGGCAGAATTAATTGTTAGGGAATTGTTGGATATAGTTCCTCTTAAAAAATGGATTGGAATACAAGGTCCAGTAGAATGGCTAGCGAGATCACCCGACCTGATCCGAATGGATTCTGCGTGTGGGAAATTTTGGAAAAAAGTGTACGAAAAACCTATCAGAGATAAAGTTGATCTTCAGAATGAAATTATTGCCACATGCGATCCTCTTGATTGAAGAAATTTCGTCACAGTTACAAATTATGAGGTTTCTCAGGAATATTAGCTTCATTTCAAGCTGCAGTAACACAATCATGCAAATCACACGGTTATTGCAGAACTTTTCTGAAACGTTGATTAGTATTAGAAGTAGATCTGGCTTAGTTCCAAGATTGTGGAATGAAAGTGGTTGAATCTTCAAATAATATTAATTCCTTGAAGGAAGTATTTTCTAGATATGGAATTCCTGATGTCGTGACGTAATTTGACAGATGGGCACGAGTTCAATCACGATTATGACGTAAGATAAATCGGGAGTATATAAGTTGACTTGTGGTTGTTGTCCTAAATTTTATAGTGGCAAAACCGAAAAAACTTTCTCCAAAAGAAGTAAAGAGCATATAAGTACTGTTTTGAACGAGAAAGCCAATTCAACATTTGCAAACCTTTTTTTGACAGAAGACCACGAGTTCAATCACGATCATGACATATCGCATTTGGAAGGTTAAAAACTCAACTCTTTCCTATGCTTAGAAATCAATATATTTGAGAATTTGGGATAATTGCTCGATGATCAAATATATTTGAATTGTTCACCTTCATTGAATTTAGTTTGTAATGAGGAAATAATGTCTTTCAAAGGAGAAGTTACCATCATCAAGAGATGCTAATTTGGCTAACACGCGTCGAGAAATAGTATTTTTGTTTTGGGGTTGGAAAATGGTGCACACTGTATAATTACCCTCATGTTTGGATTCACTGCCTCACTTAAGAGGAAAGTTATCCCCAAGGAAAACGAAAATACGAGGAAGCAATTTATAAAGGATTTATATTTCGCAGGGAATGGAAAGCTATTGTGAATTTCATTCGACTTATTAGCGTCTTCAAACGATTATCCACAATTCGCTTTATCCTCGAAAGTTATCCCTGATTTATACCATCCGATAATGAATTGGGAGTGCTCCATTATGGAATTGTTTATTGAAGCAGCGAAGATAATATCTTCTGGCTTGAACAATTTTTCTGTGTTTTATCTAATGTAAATTCAAATATCCACGACTAACAATTTATATTTATCAATGGCACACTGGAACTAATTTCAATTATTTACTTGAAAATATTTTACTTGGCAATAGCACAAATCTGCCAGAGGCTAATAAATAGGACTGTAGATATGAAAATGACATTCGAAAATATTTTGAGGAAATTTTGTTATTTCGAATAGAAGCATTTTGTCAAGCATTCGTGATTCTACAATTGTTGGAATAAACATCTAGAGGTCTTGAAGTTTCACCTTCATGTAGGGTCTTCCAACAGGGACTTCCGGCCATCTTGTTGAAGCTACCTCTGTCAAATCAGTTATCATATCAACAATATGTGCAAATAATACATTTTTTTTACCAATATGGGTGTTCGGGCAGTGTACCGCGCGCTTCGCCCATTTTCCGATCGCTATAATCATCCTACCGAGAGGACCATTCGCAATGTAATGGATAAATTTGCGTCTGTGGTTCAGTAAACGATCGACCAATATCCGTACGTCGACGTAACGCCGATAACATCGCTGCTGTCTGTGATAGTATGCAGGAGAATCCGAGGCAGTCGATTTCGCGTCGTTTACAAGACCTTTTGCAGACCACAACTTGGCGAACTTTGCATCGTGACTTGGGCCTGCACCTGTACAAAATTCAAGTGACCCAGGAACTGAAGGTAAATGCAGGTAAATGCAGTTGGCAACATCCTCAGCGATAAGGCCCATTTCTGGATGAATGAATAGGAACAAATGGAATTATTGAATTTGGGACCGTAACAATCCACATGAGATGAAAGCGCGTCCAATACATCTCGAAAAAGTCACGGTTTGGTGTGGCTTTTTGGCTGGCAGCGTCATAGGTCCACATTTTTTAGATATGACGGTGTCCAGGCCATCACTGTCAACACCGAGCACTATAGATCGATTATAATCAACTTATTTCAGCCTGAATTGGATGATCTGGACTCCAACGACATTTGGTTTCGACAAAACGGCGCTACGTCCATACAGCTTATGCTACATTGTCTATTTTGCACGAGCGATTTGAGGAAATGGTCATCTCACGTGGAAATGATGGGACCTGGCCACCGAGATCGTGCGATTCGACCCCGTTAGACTTTTTTGTGTGGTTTTCTCAAGTCGCGAAAACCACAAACCACAGCGGTCCAAAAGCCAACATAACCCATGCCATCGGTCAAATTCAGCGTGATTTATGCCTCGGAATCATCTAGAATTGGACTTTTAGGTTGCGCTTCACCCAGAAAAGCCGTAACATGCGTATTGGGATATTTTCTGACACAAACAAAACCCAAAAGTACGGTTGTTCCTGTAGAGAGAGTTATGTAGGTGAAACTTGAAAACCCTAAGATGTAAGAAAAAATGAACATCGTGAATTTATAAAAAGGACGCAGGAAGAGGATCAACTATCATATTCTGAATTCTACTGGTAAATACGTGATGAGATGGAGGGTAGAAAAATTGTCATGAAAGAATACCACTTGGTTGCTATACAATGTGACGTTTGTAGAAGAAAATATAACTGTTTCGTGTTTTAACAAGTTACGGAAGAACGGAAACGGAAGAATAATACTTCGGAAACGTTAGCCAGTTAACATTCGTAAATATGACACGGTACTGATTAATTGGGCTCATCAGTGGTTTATATTACGCTGTAACTTCTCAGGGTTGATTTTTCAGTTTGACCTTGATTGCATTTTGGCGAATTTTTTATTGGTTGAGTTTCACTGGAGTTTTTTGGAACACCAAACCGTTATTTTAACACCTAGACACGTGTTTCGATTACCAAGTGATCATCTGCAAGAGGAAGATCAAACTAAACATACTTACAATGTTATCCTTATTTATATCATAGATACCTCTTCTAGGTACCTGTGTCTTAAATTATTTTCGTGATATTGCCTTATCTACTAGTCTTAAATCAATTTTACAATGTGTCCTTATGTAATAGGTAAATTTAATAAATAAAATATTATTTTAACAAGCTATATAGTATAACTATCAGGTATTGGTCCCCCATCATTATTCGTAATATTATTAGGTTTACTCATTTTCACACTCTCATGTGTTGGTAACTTGTCTAACTAATCTTAATGAACTAAAGTCTATGGAATGGTTTTGTTGCAAAATATGATGGGCGACTGCTGATGTTTCAGGTCTTCCATATTTTAAGTGTGCTCAGTGTTCCTTATATCTTATTTTAAAAGATATTTTTGTCTGTCCGTAATATTTTGCATCGCAGTCCTTACATTGAATTTCATAAATTCCAGACTTTTCCGAATTCTTGACTGTCTTTTGGATTTCCTAAAAGGATCTGTAGTGTATGACTCGTTTGAGTTATGTAGCTTCATGATATAGCAATTTAACAATCACTCGAAACTATTTTTTTTTTCAGAATGGCCTTCCGTCTGTGGATAATCCTTATGTGTTCAACGGAGACTTCGTGGACAGAGGAAAAAGAGGTCTGGAGGTGTTTCTGATACTTTTGCTTTGCCTACTGGCTATTCCCGGAGCAGTTTATCTCAATAGAGGGAATCATGAAGACATCATAATGAACCAAAGGTAAAATGCGTACCCTCAGATTCATTTTTTACCGTAGCAATTGGAGCAGTTAGAAAAAAAGCAATTCAGTTACTTCAGTAAAAGATTTCATACTTCTTTGCTTCCACTACACAAGTCTGCAACAAAAAAGCTGTCTGGATTTTTTCGGACATCTGATTTTTATGGATGTAGTTGTGAAAACTAAAAAAATGTCCAGAATGTCAAGTCATTTGATAGAAAAGAAATTTTTTGGACTAACTTGAAGTCATCAATAAAAAAGTACAATTTTATTTGTATTACTACTTCTAAATATATACATACAGGCCATAACTATCATCAATTTCTAAATGAAGAACGCCCTATGCCCTACTTTGCCCGGACAAGTTGGTTTATTGTACCAATATTGAAAGTTTATGAATACATTTAATGTCTCAAATGACCCAGCACACCAGCTTATTTCCATAGATGCTTCAAAATGAAGTCTCAAAGCAGTTCTGCTTTCCGTACACCTCAAGGAAATCTACAAAAACCTAGAATCGGTTCTTTACAAATTAAAATAAAATGACCACGGTTGGCAAGTGTGCAATGATTTAAAAATCTTGGGCATGTTGCTCGTACATCAATCTGGGATTTCCAAATTCCCTTGTTTTTGTGTCTGTGGGATAGTAGAGACTGAGCAATTCACTGGACCAAAAAGTGTTGGCCTCTGAGAGAGCTTAACGTTGGTTTTGGTGCCTCATCATCAACTTCTTCTGCCACCACTTCACATAAAGCTGGGATTGATGGAGCCATTTGTAGTCATTAGCTTCAAAAACCTGATATCAAAGTTTCCAGACCTTTCAGAGGCAAAGTTGAAGAATCAGACGGTTTATGGCTGATCTACAATTCATCACAACCATGACGGATCCTCAAAGAGAACGGTGGATTACTTCGAATAGGTCACAGAGAAATGTTTAGGCAATAAAAAAGACCCTTACTACAAACTAACGGTCAAAAAAGTTGAAAACTTGCTTCAGATTATCTAATGAGTTTGAAAATACCCTTTTTTATCGTCTTTTTTAGGGTATTTCCACCTTTCACAATTTGAAAAATATAACAAATATAATGGAGACCATCATAAATAACTGAGTTTCCTCCACAAAAAATTAATGATTCTCGCTCGATACCATTTTCTTGATTCCACCTCAAGTACTTTCCAGAAAATTCAGGAGATTTGAGTGAAGAGAATGGTGAGCGATTCGACCAAGACATTGAGGAGATAGAAAAAGATACCAGGAAAGATAAGTGTCTCAAGGATGGCTAACTAATGTTGGACCCTTCAGAGAGACCTTCCATATGCTTACTACAAACGAAAATGTATCAAAAAAAGTCTTAGTGGGGAAAAAGAAATGTGTATAGTGCTTTCTACTGAATATATTTTAGATAATGGCTTGACATTTTTACAACTTGTTATGGAATGAATCGGTGTTTGGTGAATGCGCCAGTGTCAACTTTTTTCGAATTCTATAAATTCAGAAAATTTTGCTTTCATCTTTGATTCAAACCATTTTGTGCCCTCATTTCAGTAATGAAGAATTTTATTTTTTTAATGCTACAAATTCAAAAAGAGAGGAAAAAAACTATTTAGTATAAAAGTGATGTATTCTTGAAGTATAATCGACATGGTTCTGTGAATACAAAACCAAATTGAAACTGAGGAGAATCTAAAAATACTGAAGGAAAATGATTCTTGCTGAGTACGTTCAAGTTTGCTTTGTATCAAAATAAGATTGATTTGAAGCGACATCATGAGGAATAATATTTTATTTCATGAAAATTTGCCACATTTTTTTTTATTGATATGGAGAAGTAAAACCTTCATGAAGTTCTGATGATAACCATGGTATAGTAACAATTATAATAAAGTATCCTATGATTGGAGTAATATGTTGTGTATCCCTTGATAAATGGCATCTGTTCCCCAAGGAATTAATGTTAACCTAATTGCATTAATGAATTCTTTTTAACAGACCCCATTTCAAAGGTAATAAAAAACAAATGCGATTGTACAGTAAACAGAAGTTTTCACTCAGTGCTATTCCATTAATTTCCAAATATCCGTTCTACCGTTTCCAGATTGATAGCCCTCCGTTTATTGTTCTCCATTCTACATACAAATCACATCACCAGAATAGTATTATAAAAACAATCGAGGCATAAAGTTTCGTTGGTATTCATTTGTTTGACAGATTAATTGTTATTGATTGGAATACACCATTTGTTTCCAGATATGGTTTCATACGGGAAGTTCAGTCAAAGTACAGGGTGAGTATAAATGATTCTTGTTGGCAATATTTTATTATATATATATATCTGACACAAACAAAACCCAAAAGTACGGTTGTTCCTGTAGAGAGAGTTATGTAGGTGAAACTTGAAAACCCTAAGATGTAAGAAAAAATGAACAT